AAAATTCCTGAAGAAGCCAGAAAAAATTTTAAATTTGATGCATCAAAATATCATGATGCAGTAATTATGCCTTGGTATAGAAGTCAGGATCAACCTCAGGTACTTTAATATGTACATTTCAATTATAAACAAAATATTGCAATATTAAATCTTTGTTTTTATTTGTTTTAGTATTTTTATGTTGCTGAAATTTGTACAAATTTGAATCCTAAATCTTCTTTTCCTGGTAATGATTATGGCACTTTTGAAGAATATTATTTGAAAAAATATGATATACAAATACAAAATTTAGACCAACCTTTATTAGATGTGGATCATACATCAGCTAGATTAAATTTTTTAACACCAAGGTAAATATTATGGAAAATATATGATTTTTTTTATAATAATAATATTTGAATATATTCATAATGATACTTTATGATAATATTTTAATATTTGTATTATATTTATATAAAAATTTTATTTTAGGTATGTTAATCGAAAAGGTGTTGCTTTACCAACAAGTAGTGAAGAAACAAAACGAGCAAAACGGGAAAATTTGGAACAAAAACAAATCCTTGTTGCTGAATTATGTGCAATTCATCCCTTTCCAGCTTCATTATGGAGACAAGCAGTTTGTTTACCTTGTATTTTGTATAGAATTAATGCTCTATTACTTGCTAATCAAATACGATGTCAAGTTGCTCAAATGATAAATTTAGGACAAGAAAATTTAAATTCTGGTATTTATAAAATAATATAAGAATTATTTTTAATTTTTATTATTAATTTTAATGTGAAAATATTTTAGATTTTGAATGGCCAGCATTAGATTTTGGATGGAGTTTAGCAGAAGTTCTAAAAAAATCTAAAGAATCTGAAAAAGCAAAATTAATTAGAAATGAATTAAATTCTACAAATGCAATTGATACCAAATGTCAAAATATATCTAAAGATATTACAGAAAATTTATATAAATTAGATAAAGAAGATTTAAATGAAAGTAATTATGAATTTCAACTAACGAATGATAAAATAACTGAAACAGAACAACAAATATCAAATGATGAAAATGAATTAGAAATTGGTACTTGGTCAAGTGATATGGCAATGAATTCTTTAGATTTTGGAGCAAATAATTTAAAATCATTTCCGCTAAATGTGACTGTTTTACCAAATGAATTTAATTGGAATGATATTCGATATGGATCTCCTGCATGCGAATCAGATTTTGATGGTTATGAATCAGATGATATTTATAGTGATGGATTTGCTGATACTTCTGACGAAAGTGAAGATGAAAACAGAGGGTTGCGAATTTCTTATATGGGAGAAAATGTTGCAGAAGCTGTAGAAGATGAAAAACAAATATCAAAACAAGAAGTCAATAAGAAAATTTTGGATTTATTAGAAACTGAAAAAAATTCGGATGAAATTTTATGGTCATATGCAAAAGAAAGCGAAGTTTTAATTACAAAACATAAATTAGCTCATTATGAATTTGCTAAAATTAAAGAATGTGAAATAAAACAAAATGGATCTTTTATACCTTATAATAATAAGATTGTAATTAAAAGAAAAACTTCATTTAGCTTACATTCTGAAGAGAATTTACCAAATTATAAATACAAAACTTATGTAGAAACTGTGGTTGATAAATTTACTCAAGAAATATTGAATAATAATGAAATTATACAACCAATTAAAAAAAATTCTAATACACCAAAATTTACATATCATTTCGATAGTAATCTTTTTAGCTTCGATTTTCAACCAAAATTAGAAAATCATCCAGGTCCAAGTCCTAGTTTAATTTTGCAAGCTTTAACTATGTCCAATGCAAATGATGGTATTAATTTAGAACGTTTAGAAACTATTGGAGATTCTTTCTTAAAATATGCTATAACTACTTATTTGTATTGTACATATGATAATATACATGAAGGCAAGCTTAGTCATTTAAGATCTAAACAGGTATAAAAAATTTAAAATATTGATTTTATTGATTTATTAATTATAATTTGTTTTAATCTAATGACATTTTTTGACAGGTCAGTAATTTAAATTTATACAGATTAGGAAGACAAAAAATGTTGGGTGAGAGCATGATAGCAACAAAATTTGAACCACATGATAATTGGTTACCTCCTTGTTATTATGTTCCAAAAGAACTTGAACAAGCATTAATAGAATCTGGTGTACCTTCTACTTTATGGAATCAAGCTGATATTCCAGCTTTACAAGCTGTAAATCCTTTTGAAATAACTCAGTTAGTTCGAGAAACAGAACAAAAATTGGGTGTTATGAAAAATGAACTTGACCGCAACGAAACAACACTTCCAAATAATTTAGATAATATGCGTTGTTTTATACCATATAATTTAATTACTCAACATAGCATTCCTGATAAAAGTATTGCAGATTGTGTTGAGGCATTAATTGGAGCATACTTAATTGCTTGTGGACCTAGAGGTGCATTACTTTTCATGGCTTGGTTAGGGATTCATGTTTTACCTACAGAAGAAATTAATATTATTCAAGAAACTGAGCCAAAAGATAGAATTCCAGGAAGCACTCCTTTTGTAAAAGGAAAAAATGAAAAAGGGCAGACAATATGGACACAGGTATCTATAATTTTATAATTTATGTTAACAAATAAGTGTTTTAAATTAATTTTTAAAGATTCGTTATGGAAAATTGGAAGAACCACAAAATCCTTTACTTCGATATATTGTTGACCCAGAAGAAGAACTAAAACTGATGCTTGATGGTTATGAAGAATTAGAAAAAAATATAGGATATAAGTTTCATGATATTAGTTATTTGCTACAAGCATTTACTCATGCATCATATCAACCCAATAGATTAACAGATTGTTATCAGCGTTTGGAGTTTCTTGGAGATGCAGTTTTAGGTAAAAAATGAAGATAATTTCATTTTCTCTTAACTTTCGATTATGTAAAATTTAATATAAAAGTTTATGATTCTAGATTATTTAATAACAAGACATTTATATGAAGATGCTCGACAACATTCTCCAGGTGCTTTAACAGATTTGCGATCTGCTTTAGTTAATAATACTATATTTGCTTCTTTAGCTGTGAGATGTGGATTTCATAAATATTTTCGACATCTTTCTCCTGGTTTAAGTATTGTTATAAATCGTTTCGTTAGAATTCAAGAAGAAAATGGACATTCCATTAGTGAAGAAGTAAGAAACTTTGAAAAAAAATTCATATATACAACATAGTAATAATTAAGATTAATGATTTATTTTATTTTGTATCAAAAATCAGGAACATTATGAGTGATACAACAATATTGCAATATATAAAATATTTTAATATATAATATATAAGATATTGCAATATATAAGATATTTTATATTCATATATATATATATATATATATATATATATATATATTATTATTACTTTTTATTTTTTTTTTAGTATTATTTAATTGGAGAAGAAGAATGCGAAGAAGCTGAAGATGTAGAAGTACCAAAAGCATTAGGTGATGTTTTTGAATCATTAGCTGGTGCAATTTATTTAGATAGTGGAATGTCCTTGGATGCAGTATGGAGTGTTTATTATGCTATTATGAAAAATGAAATTGGTAATTTAACAAATTTTTTTGTTTTATGTATATATATTTTATAAAAAAAAGACAAACGTATGATATTTTATTAAAGAACAATTTAGCACAAATGTTCCTAAATCTCCAATTCGTGAATTACTGGAATTGGAGCCTGAAACAGCAAAATTTGGAAAACCAGAAAAATTAGCCGATGGACGAAGAGTTAGAGTTACAGTGGATGTTTTTGGTAAGGGATCTTTTAAAGGAATTGGAAGAAATTATAGGATTGCAAAATGTACTGCAGCAAAATGTGCATTAAAAAAATTAAAAAGAATGCAAAATTATTCAAGGGAAAAACTATGATAGCATATATAATATTAGATCAAAATAAAAGCATATAAAATAAAATGAATTTCTTTATTATTATTAAAATATATTTTTATAAAGTTGTGTTCATAAATATTTACGAATTTGTAATATAAACAATTTTTATGCATTCTAGCTTAATATAATAAATTGATGGTATAAAATAGATTTCTAAATTTAGAAGAGTATCATTTATTGTCATTACAAAAAACAAAATTTTGAAAAAATAGTATAAATATATATTGTTACATTGTAAATATTAAAGCAATAATCATTTAAAAAGTATAAATTTTAAAAGAATCATGGAATATGTATTTCTTGTATTTAACTTATGATAAATGATTGATTTACAAATGATATTTTTTATTTACCTTATAAATTGTGTAACAATTTTCTCTGAAAATTCTAGTCAATATTAGCATTATTCTTTTTTTTATATTTTCAAATGGAACAATTTTTTATAATAATTATATACAATAAATATATTGTAAAAATATTTTATAAATATTTGAATTTTCATTAAAATTTATTTAATAATTATTATATGTTAACAAATTATATTAAAATTTAAAGAAAAAATTTTTTATATTTTAAAACATTAATAAACAATTTTGTACAATGAAATAAATATAAAATTATTTATATGCAAAATTTATAAATTAATTTATTTAATGATTTAATTATATAGTATATATATATATTTTTTATATATATAATTCTTTTTTTGCTTATTTGAATTTGATAATATATCATTATGTAATTAGTATTTCATTTTAGTATAATAACAATTATCATGTAAATTTTAAAAATCTTTGTAATAAATGTTTAGTTAAAATAAAATAAAGAAAATTTTAAATATTAAAAAACATTAAATATGTTTGTAAAGTGAATTTTTTAAATATATTAAAATTTTATATTTTATATAATGTTGTGTACTTTGGAACCCATTTTAAGAATTAATTGTATAATAACCAAAAACAATGAAAAAAACTTCATACAAATATGTCTTATTATAAATCATGAGATCTTATATATTGTATATTTAAATATATTATCAATATCATTATAAAAATGATAATGAAATTAAAAATGTTTTGCAAAACGTAATTTATATACAATTTAAAATCTTTTTTATATCTATTTAGAATTAAAATTTTAGGAGTTAAATTGGCTATAAAAAAGAGCTATAGCAGGATCTTCACATTCACATGTAATTAATATGTCTCGAAATTTATCTAAAATCTGTAATAATTGGGATCTACGAATATTTTCTAAATACATAATCTCTTCTAAATGATAGCCTCCATTAAAATAATCAAGACGACACAGTTTGTCAAGTAATTTTCTGTCATCAGAAGGAATATCATAATCTTCTGATTGATAATTGTACATTCCATTTTCTTTACGAAGTGTTATTGATATTTCTTCGTTTATATCAGCAGAAGCTTTTGAGACATCATTTAAATTCCATACATTACTATTTTCTGTGATTTCATTTAAATTATGATTCAATTCATCTTTTGCATCCTTAAAAAAGCAGATAGCAGTATATTTTATATATGAATTAATATATGAATTAAAAAATAAATATCTTTAAACTCACCAATGATACTTGACCATGAACTGTTGGCATATATTGTACATATGTATGTAATTGTAGAAGCAAATGATTCTTTAATAACCATATTATTGTTTTTACTAATTGTGTTTGTTGTTGTGACTGACTTAAAGGATTTAATTTTTGACTTATAGATGTTGGTAATGAAAAATCACTGAGAACCTATATTAATAGAAATTTAATATTACATATAATTTAAATAATTCTGAATGATATAAATAATTTTTTCACATACTTGTAATAAACAAAGTCCTGGAAATTCTTCAGAAAATAATTCTAACAATTGATTTGTGATAATAGCATCTGGTGATACAACATAAACATTACTTTCACAAAGAGGATAAATTATAGTAGCTTTAGCCCAATATATTAAATGTCCAGTTAATTGAAAAACTTGAGTTAATGTTAAATCAGAATCAGCAGCTAAAGTTTGTAAACTTTTCAGTGGACTATACATTTGAATTAAGCGTTTAAGAGCTGGAGAAGAATCTATCGGAAGTGAATCCAATAAATCTAAAGGTTCAATGAGTAATAATATACCATGATAAGGCCTTAAACTGTTTAAACATCTGTAATAAAATTTAATATGTAATATTATTTTGATTGATAATTATATTATAATATAATTATAATATAATATTAACCTATCTATTATTTCTGGATTAATAACAAATCCTTTTTTGTGAGATTGATGAACTTTTTGAGGAAGGCAGAAACGTACTTGAATCCATTTATTAATCATAATATTAATTATACCAGAAGTAGTCAGACTACTAAACACAGATTTTAAATCACGTGAAAGTGAACTTCTTTGCAATATTAATTCATAAGGTGATTCATCACAATCACTTTCACCTTCTGATCTAAATAAATAAATAAATACATATATATATATTTTTTTTATATAGATTAATTATATTTTAATTATATATATATATAGATATAATAATAGTACAAAAATTCTAATTAATCTTTTATTTTATATATATACCTTGTGGCAACTTCATCATGAGTAGAAACCATAATTTTTATTTCTTCTGTTAAAAATCCACATCGTTTTTCTTCATGTCTTAAAGCTATACCTAACCTAAGGCAAATAATAAAATTATTTTTTTTATATATTACATATAATATAATAATATTATATTATATTATATTATATTATATTATATAACAAACCTTTTACTTAAATCATAATAACATTTTACTATAGAATGACTGGCTTGTGCTTGTAGAGCAAAAACTATATTAAAAAGCATTGAAGAATTAACTTCTTTCATACCATGAGATGGAACTAAAGTTGGATGTCCAACAAACCGAACATCATTTACTTTTAATTCAAATTTTTGCTCACATAATTCTGGTTTAACAGCAAATAATGTTGATAATACTTCATCAGTAACTCCAGTTAAATTTCCATTGCTTATGTTAGAAATTGGAAAAGGTAAAGACTATTAACAAAATTTATTATATATTATTAAATTATTACATTCGTTTAAAATATAATTTAATATTTGAATAATGTTGATTTATTATTAAAATTATATAAAGAAATCATAACGTTATATGAAAAAAAATTGACCTGCAATAAATCTTCTGTGATGGTTAATGAATAAGGATTTTTTCTTTTAGTACATTGATTAAAATCTCGTGTATGTTTCGCCACATGTGGATATCGAAATAAAAGTCTATCACCTTTACTATCACTTTTCACAAGAATTATACTTAGCGGATTTATTTCCATAACTACAATTAACTAATGTACAGGTTATATAAAATCTTGCCATCAATAAATTATAAACGAATAAATTTAATCAATTAAAAATGAAATTAATAAATATATATAATCAAATATCGAACTTATTTTAAATTTAAAATATAAGTATCAATTTTTTTAATAAAAATATTGTAATATATTTTTTGATTCACAACAGTTCTGACTTTACCGGAACCATGCGTAAAAATCAATGTACTATATTTGAATTTAAAAAATATTCATATATTTATTAAAAAATTGTATTTAAAAAATTTGTATTACAATTTATAAACATTATATAATTACATTTAATAATCTAATTTTGTTTTGAAATAATTAAATTATTCTACATATTTAGTGTATTGATTATAGTCGTAACATGTTTATATTTTTATCATTCATTATCCTGTTTGAATATCATATACTTCTTCTTTCTTACAATTTGTATAATATTTGTATAACATTTTATTATATTATTGTATTTGTATTTTAATTTAAAAAACAATAATTCACTATAATATAAAATACAAACAGAAATACAAAAATTATTTTTTATATCTTAGATATTTAATTATATAATGATAGGCATCACTAATATGCAATATTTATTTAAAATGCTTATTTCATTTATTTAAAATAATTTATTAATATTTATTTATATTCAAACAAATGAAAATAACAATTTATTTATAAGATTAATATAAATATATTTTTTAAATATTAAATATATGTATGTACATATAAATACATATATCGAAATTTCATTATTATAGTTTATGTTTCAATCTATAAATCTTAATTCTATAAATCTTGCAATTATATATTATATTTTATAGATATTTAAAATATAATTTATTTTATTTTTTTTAATGATATGAAAAACATAATCTAACTAAAATTGATAAAAATAGCACTATTAATTTTTTTTGAATTATATATAAAATATTAGTACATGGATATTATTATTATTATTATTCTATGCAGATATAAAGAGAAGACTGAGTGAGAAATTTTCTTCGCCGTTCAATACAACAACGCGTGCGCTTTTCTTCCAGAGAAGCCAGTAGTCGCTTTAATGGTATGTACTTTCATAGAGACGTGTTATTTAACGGTAAGAATATAATTTTTGATGTTATTATTATTTGCATGTTTCTTATTGAAAAATATATTGAATAATATAAAACATTATTTTTATTGTTTATTTTTTTAATTAAATTAAAGATAATACAAAGAAAATATTGGAAATTGAAAATGTCGAACAAAAAAGAAAAGAGCAAAAAATAAATAAAGTACAAGTATAAACATCGAATATAATCAAATAATTATATTTATTTTATATAAACAAATATATACATAGATATTTGAAGTAATATTTATTAAATTAAAATTTTATTGTTCATTATTTTTTTATCAAATCAAAATAATATGAAAGATTTAAGTAACTTTTACTTTTATTTAATAATATAATGAAAATTAATAATTTTTAATTTTTTTTAATATTAATAATAGATGAGAGGTTTTGACTTAACAACGAATAATTCGGGTTGTGCATCTTGTACACTCGAACCACCGCCTGACATCCTTCATATACCGCCACCACCGTTCCCAGCCATTTTTCAACATAGCTCAGATTTTTATCCACACACGGATTTATTATCGTTTCCATCTCATTTTAATGACAGCCCTTGCAAACATTTTTGCGATCGCCGTTCCGAAGGAGTTCAATACATAGAAATGCCTCAACAAGGTTTAATTAACAAATTTGTAATTTATTTATTTTACGTTAATTTATTCATATAATTCGTTTTGTACTTTTATTTTGAAAGAAAATAAAAATATTTTCTATTATTACATATTAATTTAAATATTATTAAATAATTAAATTATTATTAAATATGTCTATTGTTATATAAAAAAAAGGACAAAACGAAAAAAAATATATTTAATCGATTTAATTATATCTGTAAATAAATAATTTTTATATTAAAATTTTAGGAACAGTTTTCGATGACACTTGGTTGCTGGTTCTAATATCTTCTTGCATCGGTGTAATTTTCATAGGCATCATACTAGCAACATTACTCTTAAAATGCAAATTGTAAGTCTTCTTTTTCTATTTCTTTTGTAAAAATAGCAAAACAAAAAATAATCAAAAGAAATAATTTTATATTACAATGGAATGAAGTATTTAACGATTGAATTTAAAAAACAAGACAATAGTACAGAAAACAATCAATTAATATTATTCTATAGTAATAAAAGTGGTAAAAGTGGCGTAATTTCTATACCAAATGCGACATCTGGTATACAAGCAAAAAACGGAAGAATTCAAAATGAAGCTGTTCTTTACCCCTGTGGAGCTGATACTATGCAAGATAGTCGTGTTATGTGGGCTACTCTTACACCACGGGGTACTACTAGACATTATCTAGAAGAACATACTTATGAAACAATCGGCGGTGGACAATTTCATAAACGTGCCTGTTCAACTACGCCAACTGAACATGTAAAACTTAAGGCAATTTAATATTATGTTTTTATATGTAGTTATACTTCACTTAATTCACTTTAATTCATAATTTTTTTGAACAAAATTGTTCGTAATAAAAAATAATTTTTATTTATTTTATATAAAAGAAAAAAAATATTAACTAAATAAATAATAATGAAAAAAAGAAAGAAAATTTCAATACAATTTATATAAACAGATATTATGAAATAACTTTATTGTTGCATATTTCCTGAATGAAGTAAAGAAACATTTAAAATATCTGAAGATAGATAATTGATTTTTCAGACTTACGCAGATTCTCCGGTTACAACTCCGATTCAAAATCGATTAAAGGACGACAAAGCTTTTGATAACACTGCTTTCGTAGATTACGAAGAACCTTCGTTAATGAAGACTGATTATTATCAACTCAGTGATGTTTTAGAATCGAATGATCCAAGTATTATTTTATTAACATTTTAATTAATGAATAGTATTAATTAATTAATATTAGCATATCTTTATATTTATAATTTAATTTTTATTACAGGTATACAAAGAGGAACATCGCGGCCACGCGTTAGCTCACCAACACGAATCGAACATCCAAATTTACCGCCCCTTAACCTTCATCCTCATAAACGTTCTTCTCGTAAAGGATCTGCTACGTCACAAGCTTCAGATACGTTATTAAGAAATAGTATTACTTCATCTACATATATTCCTACTATATAATTTTTATATTAAACTTTGGTTATATTTTTAGGCTTATACAATAAGCGACAGTAAATAACAGTATATTTTGTATATATTATTTTCACATCTAGTCATTTTAATCAAAAAATGAGTATAAGTTTTAAAAAAGTGACTTGGTCGTTTAAAAATGATAAAATCTAGCAATGTGATCAATATGTATAATATTATTTATATTTTATTATGTACAAGATATCATATCACTCTCACTGCCAAATAGAATAAAAAAAAAACAAAATGATTTGACTATAGATCAAATTTGAATAATCTGTTCAGATTTATATTCTGTAATTTATTAATACTTACATTCTATAAATTATATAGATAACGACAGAATTTAGAGAGAAAATAGTATAATCACTAGTTTATATATTATCATATAGAAAAAAAACTTATTCAAAAGTTCATGCCAAAAAAGAGGCTGATATATTATATGTTGAAAAATCTACTAAAAAAAATCGTTCGATAAGTATAAGAAAAATTTCAAATTTCCATAATTTGTTACAAATTTTTTTTTGTTGAAATTGTTATAACAAAATTTATTAATTGTTTTTAATTTTAATTTCGTTATTGTTTACAATGTAACTTTTGTAGGAAATATATTGTTTCAATAAAAAAAGATCATTGCTGAGCCTAAATTTTTAATCCTAATATAAAATTCTATGACTATATATTTTAATCGAACTGTTAGAAAAATTATTTAACATAAACTATGAGAAATCTATCGAATTATTAATATTTAATGTTGGTTATTATTTGAATTATAAATATTGTTTGTTATAAATCTGTTTATTTTTGAAATTATAACAATTCAATTTCAATTCTTAAGTTTTAAAAATAACTTTTAATATTTAGATTATTATAATTAAAAATTATAATTTAGTTGAAGATAATTAATAAGATAACTTAATCAGATTTCATATTCTTTCATATCAACCGCATAAAAAATCAGAGTATTTATTCATAGAATCATACATTACATAATTTTAAATTTAAAATAAAAATTGAAAAAAAGAATGGGAGTATGAAAATGAAACGTTCAATTGATGATGATGCATATTTTTTTTTGAATGTTTAATTTTATTAATTACAAAATAAATACTTAATAAAATAAACAACATAATCTATAACTCAAAATCCCGAAATGAATTGAAAAAAATTTAATAGTGAGATTTTTTTTCAAAAACTCTTATATTTTTCAGTTTAATAAACATAAATAAGAAAAGCAAATAGAAGAAAGATAGAGATAATCAAAATTATGAAATCAGTATTATCTTCAGTGTCAAAACAAATAAAGAAAAGACAGAAAATATTAGCTAAAATAGAGATAGAATAAAAATTGATTGTTAATGCCATCTTTTGAGTATCTGAGAAATCTTTTCAAAAATAGAATAAAATAAGAATTAATTTTTAGCGCCAACTTTTTTTAAAGAATCTTGTTTCTAAAAATATTTAGAAGATGGCATTAATGTTCAATTTTTATTCTATGTCTCTTTTTCTTCTATTACTTTCTATCTTTGTCTACATTAGTTTCGTTTGCAGCTAGAGATGCGATTTAATTTTTATTTTATCTCTCTCTTTCTTTTATTATTTGGTATTCTTGCCTATATTAGTTTCGTTTGCAGCACTCTAGAGATGGCGTTGATTTCAATATTTTTATCCTATCTCTGTATTTCTTCTATTATTATATTACTCTTCTTGTTTACGATTGATATATTGTTTATAGATTCAACCTTAAACAAATATGGTAAGTTGTGAAGTATTTTTCATAAAATAATTAATAATCATTATTGTTGATAATAAAAAATAATTATCATTATATTATTATCATTATATTATATTATTAAATGATGAAAAAAAATGTATTATAATAATATGATTTGTTATT